TTTCTTTCCAAATTTCATGAGTGCAAATGTGCCAAATATATAGCCTTTGGTCAAGAAAAAACTATTAAAGATGCTAACTAAAAATTAGTGGATAGAACACCCAGCTGTCTAACAATACCAACTCTCCTAACTACTTGAGAAAAGACTAAGTTGTCCCTAATGTAAATATACATATATTTATATATGTATATATATATATATATATATATATACATTTCTACATACGAACATTCTACAAATCACATAAGATTAAAACACTTGATGAGATAACCACAAGCAGCAGCTCCATACAGAAAAAGTTGATAAATTCCAATTTGCATCACATCAACACCATTAGATGACAAGATGATTCTGAACAGAATTTACATCACACCAAATTATCAGAATTAATTCAGATGAATAGATGAATAACCACATAAGATTACAAAGACTTGTTGAGATAACCACGAGAAGAAGCTCCATGTAGAAAAAGTTGAGAAATTTGAATTTGAATAACTTCAAAATTATTAGATGAGAAGATGATTCTGAACAGGTATAACTCTTTAGAAATGGACATACTTAAAATATTTCTGGAAAGCCACAGGATCCTTGCTCAGACCTGCAATATCAAAGCCGTAATCTCCTGGGAATTCGCCTGCAAGATATGCGGGATAGTCATATGGGATTGGCCCAAGCCAGCGGGGACGCTCTTCTCCATACCATAGGCTGAAATATCGGAGAAATTATCTTAAAATGAATAGACTTGTTAAAGGTTATAAGAAACAATAGAAATAGACATTTGGATCTCATGTGTTTAATCAACCTAAATTGGAACTAATACTCATATTTACCTTAAGTTGCAGCTCGGTTCCATCATAAGAGTCATAGCAGGTAGCTACCCTGAAAGAGTAGACTATTCCTAGAAACCATAAACTTTAATAGCCAAGATTTGTTTCAAAATGAATGCCTTCACCTATACAACGCCATTAGCTTCATCTTTCGTTCTAATTTTTCTAACACTCATAACACTCTAATTCTTCCTTTACACTCAACTTGCCATGTTTTGATTTCCTTTCAAGCACTCACTTGGTCGTCTCACGTTAGTACTTTCTTCAGAACTTAAATGAAGTACAAAACCAAAAATATCAACCTCCAAAGCAGCTCCCTAATTTTCTTTTGTGAAATTTATTTCTTTCCTGCAGATTGGGATGATATGATCATTCATTTGCATAAACCATGAAGTAAAAACTTTGTTAGGTCTCATACTGCGTGCTATATAACATTTTGAGTCCTAACCAGAGTTTAGATTTGCTTAAAGAAACAAAAAGCAGTTTCCACTGTTTAGAATTTGATTACCTCCGCCAAAGTCCTTAATTGCAAATTATAAAACGTAACATAAACACGGATTTATGTAAATATAACTCGTTGTTTCAATGTAATTGAAATCACAGTTTCTAATGAAGTATGATACAGAACACTGGCGCTCAATTACTTGACCAACGAGGTTCACAATTTCTGAAAAGTTAAGGTAAGCAATAATGAAAAAGCAGAGCAGAAAATTTTTCAAAACTAGCGAGGTTCAATTGTTTACAAGGATAATTACCTCTCGCTTCGAGCCTTCTCAGCTAAGGCCCTGAACTTGGAAGAATTTTCAACCGCCTCCGTTTTCTTCTCTTCCATTCTCCTCTGAAGCAACTCTCCAAGCTGGCTGTTAGCAATGGCCTTGACTGCCGTGAAAGGAATCGCCGAGAACACCAACACTCCTGCGAGCTTTAACCACGAGCAAAAACAGATGAACCAATTAAACAAGTGTTACAGAGAGTAAATGACACTTCAATACAAGCATAAACCACCAGAGTTTAGGAAAATTTGCAGAGACTAGTAACCTCTTGCCAAGAAGCTTTGCAGATTGAACAAGACTTGGTGTTGCTGATGGAGATTCTACTAACAGGCTTCGCCTCCAATTTACTTGAGGAAGAGAAGAATGATGAGGAAATCGAAGAAAGCTGGATCAGAGCCATTACTCTCTCTCTGCAAGTTTGCGTGGATTTGAGTCGACCAGGAGAATAAAATGAGGAAGATTCACTAATCACCGTTTGATTAGATTGCATCCACGTGTACAATGTGGGGCCAGTCGATGGTCACGTTAATAATATTAAAATATAAAGGCTAGATTGATGAGTTAATATTATTAAACATATTTTTATATAATTATCAATAAATATTTAAAAGCTTGTAAATATTTCCTCTTTTTTTAATAATTTAATTATATTATTATATTAATTTTTATTAAATAAAAAATAATTTATTTATCAATTAAATAACAATAAATTATAATATAATAAAAATAATATTTAAATAAAGACAAATATCAAAATCTTCTATTATATTAATATTAATTCTTATTCATGAATAAAAGTTCTTGAGTTTTATATTTAGTTATAATAAAAACTATAACTCTTAATTAAGAAAACGATACACATAAAATATAATACAAATTATAATATAATATAAATAACAGATGATAAAATATAAATTATAATATAATATAAATAATTTTAAATAAATAAATACATACATAGGAGACCAAGAGTTTTTGACTCTATTGATATTAATACTTATTTACTAGTAAAAAATCTTGAGTTTTATATTTATTTATAAGATATATGGTAACATTTAATAAAAAAATACATATGATAAACAACTCGATTTGAATATACAATTTTTTTTAAAAGACAAAATAAATATATCAAATAATAATACAATTAAAATAAAATTTGAAATAAGACGCACACAAAAAATTAAAAACCTTTAACTTTATTAGTACTTGTGCCCATTTATGGACAAAAAGAATTGGATTACATATCTCGTTTTGATAAAATTTGTATATCTTAATAAAAAAATATATAAACAAAAAATAATTTAACTCGAATTCACAATTTTTTGAAAAAAAATATACTAAATAATAACATTAAATTTTGCAACGGTTGATATATTATTTATGTTATGTTTATTTATTTATATTTTGATAGTTTTTTATTCGTTATAATTATTTTATTTTTAAATAGCAACACGAAACGTGATAACTGTATTTAATTAATATAAAACATAATATTTTTTAAAAAATTTCACTTATCCGACCCACTTATGTTATTCATATCGATGTAAAATAATATAATACAATTAATATAAAATATAACAAATAATATTAAGATTGGACATCCGATAAAATTATAACGACTCGGTCCATAATTCGGACTAGGATTCCAAATAACAATATTTTAGTTTTAGTACCAAAAGTGTTCATGTAGCATTTGGTATCAAACGAAGGCCCAAATAATGTTAGGCTTAAAAGAAACCATTTCATGAGCTCCGTATGAAGAAAGCCAGGGCATTCCTCAAAACCCTCTTCAACCTCCGCAACACTACTTCTACTCCCTCGGTACTTCCTCCCTCCATAATCCCGCAAATGTCTTCTGTTACATAAATTTGATATTTGCCTGCGTACATGTATATATATATATAGCATTGATAGGATATTTTTGTCTGGAAATGCATTAGCAGGCGAAGATGGATTCGTCAGAGCGTTACTGCTACAACCCGGTGTTGCATTGGAATCCTCAGGTTGAAGACTACTTTGTCAAGGCATACGGCGCGGAGCATTTTACTCGCATCTCCAAGGCTCTTACGTGAGATCACGTCTCTGTCTCCTTCTCTACTTTGCGATCCATTTTTGAGTTCATCAATTTGAATTTGACTCTAATGAAGTTTGTGAGTCAGAGGTATCATGGACTTCTGCTTAAGTAGGAGCGGACTAATACCACTGTTTTGCTTAGTTAACTGGAATAGTTTCAAGGTCTAAGATTAAAAATACAGAGGAAAAGTGTTGAGCCTTCGACAATGTTAGAATGGATATACGAGTACTTGCCTTTCGACAATGTTTTGAATGGTTAGCTCGTGAAGTTTTGTGGTAGGATGGATATATATATATATATATATATATATATATATATATATATTAGAATGTATTCTTTCGAGGGGTATTGTAGGATGTTCTAGTATTCATATCGTTTCATCTGTCAACTGAATTCTCACCAAACTCTTTCTTGGTTTCTGAGAGCTACTTTAATTTATTTGCTGTTCTTGTTACTGATTACTCAGTCTCCTATATTTTGTGTTTAAATTAGGCGTCCATCATGCTACTCTTGCATACGCGTGAATACACTCAAAACAACAAGTGATGCTGTTAGTGAGAAGTTAGAGAAAATCTTACAAAACTCAGGGCCTGAAAATGCTGCAGATGGAACTAATTTAACCAAAATGGATACAGATGGTCTTATCTCTAAGTCTCAGATTCCAGGTTTAGACTATGTTCTATTTGTTAAGGGTTCAGGGCCGCATGTCATTAACCATGGTTGTGCGCCTGACAAGCCTCCGAAAGAGATTATTGTTAGCAGGAAATGTGCTGAAGCAGTTCTTAGAGGTGCTCAGGTAAGAAAATTTTACATCGGCGTTGCAATATGAATAAGAGATCACCTGTTAGATCACTTTTGAAGGTTTAGTACTTTCGAGTCTCTTAACAATGTGCTTTATTTTTTTAAAGAAAGTCTATTAATAATGTATTACATAAATAATGGTAGTTGCTCTTTTACATATGTGTATTTGCTGTTTGAAAAATTTGTGGCTTTTTTCTATAATTATATTCCCCCGTCCCCTACTATTTTTTTCTTTTCTTTTTTTTTTTCAAGAAAAAAGTCGTATTCTAAGCTTTTCTTTTTATTATATATATAAAGAAGAACTTTATTGAAGAGAAGGAAAAGTTATGAAAGAGGGAGAGGATAAGATATTCCTTCACCCTAAAACAAAGAAACAAGAAATACAAAAATTAATATAAAAAGCCTCAAGGCAGTTACGAGTCTAATCCCTATGCAAAGCAGATGAAGGCATCCACTTCAAAAACACAGACAATAATCCTGTGTCAGACCGTGTTATGCGTTTGAAGATGATCCTTGAAAATTCTAGCATTCTGTTTTCAACTAGATGATCCACGAACTATCCAAAATAGCCCCGGTCAATAGCAGCTTATGCTTCTTGGTCCTTCCTAATATCCAATAAGGTAGAAGAGATGAAATATCTAGAGTAGGAGGACACGCCGACTCTACTCAAACAAAGAAAACAATCTAATCCACAAAATCCAAGCCTTCAAATGGTGGAGAGAAAGATGACAGTTACTCTCTTAACCTTGGTCAAACATAAAACAAATTTAAGGAGAAAGAAGTCTATTTGGTTCATCTAATAATTACTATTGTTTGAGCAACTAATAAAGGTTTTAATTTTACATTTTGATTTGATCCAATCATTTGTAGATCACTGAAATTAGGAGAGAAAAGTTTTAAACAATGAGAATTTTTCATGTCTGGCACTTTATAATAATCAGTACAGACATCTTCTCTGTAAAAGAAGTGAGTACTGTCTCCGTTTCATATGGATGTGCTTTATAGTCATTATGTAATCTGTCTATTGGTTGAGAGCCCGACCGAGGGGTGGGGGGAGTTGTGTTGTTCCCATGTTTATTGTGACTTTGAATGGTGGAGAGACAGATGACAGTTACTCTCTTAACCTTGGTCAAACATAAAACAAATTTCAGGAGAAAGAAGTCTATTTGGTTCATCTAATAATTACTATTGTTTGAGCAACTAATAAAGGTTTTAATTTTACATTTTGATTTGATCCAATCATTTGTAGATCACTGGAATTAGGAGAGAAGAGTTTTAAGCAATGAGAATTTTTCATGTCTGGCACTTTATAATAATCAGTACAGACATCTTCTCTGTAAAAGAAGTGAGTGCTCTCTCCGTTTCATGTAGATGTGCTTTATAGTCATTATGTAATCTGTCTATTGGTTGAGGGCCCAACCGGGGGGTGGGGGGAGTTGTGTTGTTCCCATGTTTATTGTGACTTTGAATGGTGGAGAGAAAGATGACAGTTACTCTCTTAACCTTGGTCAAACATAAAACAAATTTCAGGAGAAAGAAGTCTATTTGGTTCATCTAATAATTACTATTGTTTGAGCAACTAATAAAGGTTTTAATTTTACATTTTGATTTGATCAAATCATTTGTAGATCACTGGAATTAGGAGAGAAGAGTTTTAAGCAATGAAAATTTTTCATGTCTGGCACTTTATAATAATCAGTACAAACATCTTCTCTGTAAAAGAAGTGAGTGCTCTCTCCGTTTCATATGGATGTGCTTTATAGTCATTATGTAATCTGTCTATTGGTTGAGGGCCCAACCGGGGGGTGGGGGGAGTTGTGTTGTTCCCATGTTTATTGTGACTTTGAATGCTAATAATATGTGATTCTTGCATATTGACAAGGAATTTAGTTGTGACTTAGAGCACTTTCTTGTGCTTCATATTGGTCTGACTGTAGGTGTATGTCCCTGGTGTGATGGCCTGTAGTGCGCATGTTGAGAAAGGAGATGTAGTTGCAGTTTCTGTTGCTGTTGAACAAGCTGGTCTTAATGGTGGATGGAGTATTGGCATGACACGTGGAACTGTTCTACAAGGATCACCTACAGGCAAGAAGCACATTCCAATATCTATTCTAAGGATGGATTATGATTAAATTAATGGGCTTCATTTTCTTTTAGTGATGGAAAATTAATTACGTGGATTTTGATCTTAAAAATATTAGTGGATAATATGTGAAACATGTGAGTCCTAGTCGAACTTGCGATATGCCAGTCAAGGCACTCTTTTATTTGCTGGGACTAGTAATGTGGATTAGCAAACATCATGTGCAGGTTGTCATAGCCGGAAGGATGAAAGGTTTTGAATGCTGTTTCTGACTTTAGGATTGACCTTGATTATTTATAGTTATGAAAGATGTCTTTCCTTTGTAACATTACCTTCAAATATAAGTATCATATGCCAAACGTGTTAACCTCTTAATTGTTTTTTGTTGTTTTTGTCACTTAGTGGTTTATTGGGATTTGGGAAGTAAGCATCTTTTAGATGATTTTTTTTTTTTAAAAATACAACAAATTAATGACATTTTTTGCTTTATAAACATATAAATTGTAGTTTTATTTCTCTTGAAGCCTGTCTAAATTTAGATATTATTTTCTGCAACTCGACATCTAAGTTATAAGGGATCAAATCTCAGTTAAGCACTCTTCACCACCACCTGTTATCCCAATTGTTGTCTTTATTCTATCTCTGTGTGCATGTAAATTGGCACAGTTAATTGCAGTACAACATGTGTTTTTGAAATATACAGTATGAGAATTGTTATTTGTTTATTTATTTTTGAAGTAATACAGTACAACAATTATAACATTGACTTTCTAATTGTGTTATTCTTCTCTAATTCTTCAGTTCTCTTTAGTCAATTTAATAGCTATAGATGAGCCATATACTCTACTATCTTAGAGCATAACCTTGATTTTATGGATGATTTTGGCAATATTATAGATATATTAATTGATTTGTAAATAATTTTGTACATGGGCAGTGCCCCCTTGGTACCTCATTAATATACTTTCTCACACTTTTATTTTTTTAAAAAAGTTATAGATTAGTCATATGATAAATTTAGTAAAAGATATCATCATATCCTTACGTGAATTAACATTTCCTATGCTATTGTTGGGTTTGCTAGTGAACTCCTTCATTATCATAAGCTTAAAATTTATTGAAAAGTAAGGAATTCCTGTGTGTTTTGTTATTTTTGTAGATCCTTACTATGTTGAACGAGATGGACTTTATATTGGGGAAGGGAAAACGATGATGTCAAGGGCTGGGATCTTCCGTGTCTCAGAAGGACTGGCTGTGGATATGAATAATCGAGTATTCAAATTGCCTTCTTTTCATGGTATATTAATTTTCTAATGATATCTTTTTGCAAGTGCTGCAGTCGGAATTATTATTTATTGCAATGGTTTGCTGTCATCTTTTAGTATTTTTTATTAGTTATGCTTGCTATGTTAAGCTATTATATGACAGGATTTCCTTGAGTAAAGTGCTTGGCTGGTAACATTTGATCTGTAACTCTGTTTTGTAATTACTGATTATGCACTAATATTATTAACGGATTCTGACACTTGTTCATCTCCAATTTCCGTTTTTCTATCTAGAAAAGTTGTTTCTTGCCCCTTGATTGTGCTGATGGTAACTTTTAATTGCATGAGTAAAATTGGCCTTAGGGTTTATAGACAAGATGCATTGATTGTGAGATCAAATCATAAATGTAATTTGGTATATTTCTGATTAGTTATGCTTGCCATGTTAAGCTATTGTATGACAGGATTTCATTAAGTAAAGTGCTTGGCTGGTAACATTTGATTTGTAATTCTCTTTTGTAATTACTGATTATGCATTAATATTACTAACGGATTCTGACACTTACTAATCTCTAACCTCTCTTTCTCTATCTAGAAAAGTTGTTTCTTACCCCTTGGTTGTACTGATGATAACTTTTAATTGCACGAGGAAAATTGGCCTTAGGGTTTATAAACAAGATGCATTAATTGTGAGATCAGAAGCATAAATGTAATTTGGTGTATTTCTTATTAGTTATGCTTGCCATGTTAAGCTATTGTATGACAGGATTTCCTCGAGTAAAGTGCTTGCCTGGTAACATTTGATCTGTAACTCTATTTTGTAATTACTGATTATGCATTAATATTATTAACGGATTCTGACACTTACTTATCTCCAACCTCCCTTTTTCTATCTAAAAAAGTTGTTTCTTGCCTCTTGGTTGTACTGATGGTAACTTTTAGTTGCATGAGAAAAATTGGCCTTAGGGTTTATAAACAAGATGCATTGATTGTGAGATCAGAAATATAAATATAATTTGGTGTATTTCTTATTAGTTATGCTTGCCATGTTAAGCTATTGTATGACAGAATTTTCTAGAGTAAAGTGTTTGACTGGTAACGTTTGATATGTAACTCTGTTTTGTAATTACTGATTATGAACTAATATTATTAACGGATTCTGACACTTACTTATCTCCAACCTCCCTTTTTCTATTTAGAAAAGTTGTTTCTTGCCTCTTGGTTGTACTGATGGTAACTTTTAGTTGCATGAGAAAAATTGGCCTTAGGGTTTATAAACAAGATGCATTGATTGTGAGATCAGAATCATAAATTGTTAAGCTATTGTATGACAGGATTTCCTTGAGTAAAGTGCTTGGCTGGAAACATTTGATCTGTAACTTTATTTTTTAATTACTGATTATACACTAATCTTATTAACGGATTCTGACATTTGCTCATCTCCAACCTCTCTTTTTCTATCTAGAAAAGTTGTTTCTTGCCCTTTGGTTATGCTGATGGTAACTTTTAATTGCACAAGAAAAATTGGCCTTACGGTTTATAGACAAGATGCATTGATTGTGAGATCATAATCATAAATATAATTTGGTTTATAGTTTTCATTGACTGAAATCGAGTAATATATATATTTTTAGATATACAGTCAAAATACCGAACTGAGAATTAAAAAACTGAACTGAAATTGCATCCTATGAATGACTCAATACTTTCTGCCCCTTCATGAGAATGACTGAGGTTGGCTTCTGGATTAATCCCAGCTTTTCCAAAGTGGCTTGACAACTCAACAAAAGAAAAAGAAACTTGGTTTATAGTTCTCAACAAACTGTTGTTCTTCTCTATGCAATAGGACTTGCCATCTTATAGCACTTGTCTCCTGTAATGGGGAGTAGTGCAGTAGAGTAAGGTTCATTTGTTCATCAATATTTCCACCATGTAGATACTCATTTTCAGCATTTTCACATTTTTTATGGCCTATCTGTTGTTTATTTAGTATTTTATGCAGCTTAGTTTCCATTGTTTGGTTTGAAAAATTAGTTTTCTCTTATTATCTTTTGTATTTTATTTCTCAGATGTGCTTGAGGGGGAAATTTTTCTTCAGAACCTGCCAAGCATTGTTACTGCTCATGCACTGGGTAAACATTGTTGTTTTCTTAAGTTCTTAATGTCTATTAACACCTATTTGTTTTGCCTATGGTGAAATTGGTTTAAGTAATTTTTTCTCTTTTGCATTTTGTTCCTATTAAAAGGTGTGAATTTCAGGTATCTATATTGTCAATTTTGGGTGTCAAAATTGTGAGCATCAGCTTTGATTGCAACACTAATTCTAATTATGACTTCAATCTTCCTGTTTGATGTATCTTTTTTCTTTAAGTTATCTTTAATCTAGTGTTATTTTTGGTTTATGATTTTGGTATTAGGCTGTCTTTTTTGACTTTTTAGCCAAAAGTAAGAGAGAAGGTGTGAGATTTGTAGCTTTGCAGATATGGAAAGTGAAGGCGCCACCAAATTGCTTTTTTTACCTGGGAAATGAGTTGGGAATGTATCATCACCACCGACAAGTTGATGAGAAGGGGGCGCATTGTGGTTAATGGTTGATATTTATGTAAGGAGGAGGCTGAATCATAGAGCCATCTATTGCTTTGGTGTTCGGTGACTTATAGTATATGGAATATGGTTTATAGTTTGTTGGTTATCAATTGGATGATTGGGGGTACGGTGAAAAACAAACTTTGGGCATGGGATGTGATTGGGAAGAACTCGAAAATTACAAAACTCATTCTTTTAGCTATTTTATGGGTGGTGGGAATAGAGATGAATAATAGAACATTTGATGAGTGTGTGAGGGATTTGGACAGAATTAGAAATAGTTGGTTACATGTTTTTGGAGCTCTAATTTTGGGCATGATGTATATAGGTGAGATGATTTTGGAAAAGTTTTTGATATTTTAACAGATCTATGAATTTTCTGTAGAGGGGCGGCACCTCTTTGGTGCCTTATGCTTAATATACTTATTTTGTATCTCAAAAAAAAGGTATTAGACTATTTTTTGGATTTGAACAAGAAATTAATTTTGGATCCTACGATGTGAAGCAGTAGCTCTCTATAAAAATTAAATGAATTAATGAATAAAATTATTCGACAATTCAATGTAAAGTTTCATGTTCTTTGAAGAACATAGGTTTTTGGTGTTAGTAA